GAATGGCAGCACCCCAATTCACTCCCCATCTCTGTGATCTTTGCATCTGCTCTGAACGTTTCTACAGGAGGCCCCTCCCTTGGGAGCAAGGCAGTGTGTGATGGACCTGTCCCCTGCGATGCCATCTACCCTCTAGGATTTCAGGGCCGAGTCGGGATCCTGCCGTTCTTCCTGAGATCAGCCTACGTGGCAACCTTGTGCTGCATCTCAAACAGGGACCAAGGCCTCTCCATCTCCTGACAAAGTGTGTTGTTCTGATTAACTAAGGGCCTAGAAAGTTAGATAAAACCCAGAGAGATCCTATTTCTTTCTCCCGTCTTCCTGTGTGGTGTACATACGCCCTGATGAGTACTTGTAAATCCTTCTCTGTGGCTCTTACCTCAAATCTTAAGATAAGAATGGGGTATTTTTTTTTTCTGGGCAGTGGTGGCGCACACCCTCAGAGATATGTGGATCTCTGTGAGTTCAAGGCCAGCCTGGTCTACAGAGCTGATTACAGGAGGACAGCCAGCACTACACAGAGAAACCCTGTCCCAAAAAAACAAAACACCCCCCCCAAAGGAATATTGTATCTATGGAAGAGCATTTCTTTTGGTCAGTTGCTCACCTGAAAGCTCATAGACAAGCTTTGTTTTCCTCCCTGCTATATGGGAAATAGGAGACAAACGTCAAGAAAGCCAGCTCCTACCTGCCGCAATGGATTCTTTAAAGAGAATTCGGAGGGATACGTTTCTTTCTTATATCAGCCATTTCAGGAAGGTCTGCCTGTCACTGTAGAAAGACAGAATGTGAAGCACCCAACGAACTGGAAAACCTGTCGGCTCAAGTGGGATGGGTCTAATGACTACAACTGCACGACAGCCACCAAAGCCCATGAGTGACCACCAGGCCATCTTCCAATTTGTTTCAACCTCAAGGCAATGACGGATGTGCATGAAGATCGTTTGTGATGTCACATTTTACAGCATTCCTGAGTGCACAGAAACTCTAGCTCCTAGTCTAGTGCACATGAGAACTAGACTTTTGTCAGTGCTTCCCTTTTTAAACAAATTTTACACTAAAGCAAGATGATGCTTTAAGAGCAAGGAAAAGCAAGTCCTTAGGCCACAGTGTAAGATGTTTTCACTGGAGCTAAACTGAGGATTTAGGCTGGACGATAAAGCAGTTGCAGAATGTGTAAGTCACATCATGCATTCAAGCTGTGGATATCCTATTTTTAAAATACCAACTGTGGCTCTTCTGGCCTTTAGGAGTCTTTCATAGTGATTTTTCCACCACTGCTGGTCTTCATGTGTGTCTGCACATCCTGGAGCCGACCGCCCTAGGAGACTTTGTTTTAGTTAATGTTACAGCTGGGAGTAAGTGTTAACGATTACAAGTCTAAACAAAGTCCCTCGAAGCACGTCTCAGATGCTTCTGAGTGCACAGAGCTGAGGGCATTTAGACTCCTGGGACATGATCCTTCACAGCCCAAGGACAAACACTTGAGACTTGGTAATTCCATTTTAGGAACCATCTACTCCACAGATGACCGGTTTATCTAAACTTTTATTTTTGTGGCTAAACACAGTCACTTTGAGGAGTTTGTTCATATTATTTTATCCATAGAATTAACAGTAGGTTTGGGAGAGGAGACATCTCTGCCTCAAAGAAATAATCTGTGACAAGATTAGGAGTTACTGTTGAGGGAACCGGAAGGTGACTTGGTAAATAAAAGCACTTACTGCACAAGCCGAAGACTAGGGTTTGAATTCCAGCACCAATTAGAAAGAAACAAACAAACAAACAAAAAACCTGGATGTGATCACTAATGGACCTGATTGCTGGGGCTTGTTGGTGAGTCCAGATTCATTGAGAGACTATGTGTCTAGACAGTAGGGTAAAGGATGCTCCTGGACTCCACATCTACATACCCATAAAGCAGACACCGCTTACACATTACTATACACAGCAAAAACAAGAGGCCAGGGAAGGTACTTGGAGAGGCCCCTGATGGGTCCTCTGTGAGACACCTTCACTGGCAGTGACTCGAGGCTGCCCAGCAGCTTCCCCTGCACAAAGCATGATCTAGTCTTGGGGAAGTTGCCCTGGACCAGCAGTCTTCAGACTCAGTCCGTTCTCTTGATGGACCTGGGGGCAGAGAAACTCCATCATCAGTCTGCACATACTACATGGTATCTGGCCAAAGGATCATGACGGAGTTTTTTCTTTCTTTTCTGATCAAGGTTCAAGCTTCCTTTCAGAACCTATGCTGGTGGGGTTGACGATGTCCTGTAAATCAGTAATTCTTCCTGTCTTTAGGAGAGGCCTGGGGCTGCCTGTATCTTCTGTTGTTCAGGCTGAGTTTAACCTATTTTAGATCTCACAGCGTCACTAAACCTATCCTGATCTCTATCCTATCCCACCTCTAGTCATTACTGTTTATGCATGTCGTTTCACTCTAGAATTCTTCAGATTCTATTGGAGAGACTTCACCAGGATTCAGGCGTTCTTACCTTAGCCCCTTCCTGTCAGGACGTTGCAGCTGTTATGTTTCTACGCAAGATGGTGGTAGTATTCACTCCTACGCCACGCCTCTCCAAACTTCCTTTGTCATATTTTATTTCTACCACCTATGTTTTTTTTTCCTCCTCTAATATCATAAATTCTCTTTTGTGACAGACAGCTCTACTAAAATCCTTGCTCTTCGCCATGCTCCTCGCCTCACAGCTCGGAGTTTGTGCACATGCTCTTTCTGTCTCACAACCTGGAGACAGCCCTCCCGTGTCCGCTCCTATGTCACTCACAGCACTTTCCAGGTTAGAATTGGTTGAGGATATGTTTGTCTCCCGAAAGATGGAATCTGCCCAGTCATTGCTTTCCTGTGTTCTTCTGGGTGCTCCAATGCCTTGAATGGGATCTTTAGTCTGTCGTTCATGACACGAAAACCCTCCAGCCCCTGGCGACATTACGAGTGTGATCTCATTCTCTTCCCCACTCACCCCAGAGGGGGTATTTCCCGCATCATATTTTCCTCCTCACACCCTCTCCCTATTCAGTCCTTTATGAAGTTATTCCTGCTAATCCCTGGAAGTCATTCGGTGTAAAGCAGACTTGGCAGGGACTATGTGTTCAGGCTCTGCCAGGCCAGTTTTCAATGCTGACGAACGGAAGAGCTGATGTATCAGCTCACAACCAATTAACTCCAGACCAAAGGTGACTAATAAGATGGGCGCCCTTAATTGTTTTCTTGCCTAAACCTCATTATTGGTGACTCCTGTAGCTGTCTAACTAATTAGCATTCATAGCTTTTTAACCCGTGTTTATTTTCACTTTCACTCCATTCTAATCCATATTTTATAAAGCTGGGGGCTTTGTAACTCTTGAAAGTCTTTCTAGTTTTCTGAGTGGTTTTCATAAACCCCTTATATAGCAGAGGTCATTTAGGAAACAGATAGATTCCTTACGAGAAAATTGCTTTTTTTGAGAGAGAACCAAGACCTTTAGAGAGATATTTGCATTTTTCTATATATAGATGTATCTCCCCAGTTGCCTCCTCCCCAAGCTACTCACCATTTTTTGTCTACACAAAACCCACAGCTATAGACTTTGTTCCTTCCATTGCCTCACTGATTGCTGGCAGCTTCAAATAAGTGTTAGACTGGGGAATTTCTTCTCTGCTCAGCTTTCTTCATTGATGACGTCTCCCTCAGACTAGAATGACACTAGTGAGCTCTCTGTGCCCACAATGAAATCCCCGACGATGTAGTTTTGGGGATCACTTATAAAAATAGATGCTTCCGAGAGAGTTCTGTTCTTTTCTTTTTGTCTGTGTGTGCCGCCTGTGGCATGTGTTGGTGGTAACTGGAGGAGCCACGGAGGCAGGCACTTTGAGATGCGTATTCTAGGTAGAAGCTTTCCTGCTGGTTAATATCATAACTCAGAGGTGAACTAACCATAAAGGGCTGGGCGAGATAGGGGGAACACATGGGAATGAAGCAGTTGTGTTTCAGTGTTGTCTTCCATCTGTAAATGCAAGTCAGAAATCTAGGAAACATGCTGTGGGGTAGTGCTCTTGTACACTGTAATGATTTGTCACTCGTATTAGTTTAATGAAACACTGATTGGCCAGTAGCCAGGCAGGAAGTATAGGCATGGTGACCAGACTAAGAGAATTCTGGAACGAGGAAAGGTAAAGAGTCAGTTGCCACCCAGACACTGTGGAAGTAAGATGAGAATGCCTTACTGAGAAAAGGTAGCAAGCCACATGGCTAAACATAGACAAGAATTAAGGGTTAATTAAAATTGTAAGAGCTAGTTAAGAATAAGCCTGAGCCAACAGGCCAAACAGTCTATAATTAATATAAGTCTCTGTGTGTTAATTTGGGACTGAATGGCTATGGAATAGGGCAGGACAGAAACTTCCATCTACAGAAACAGGGCACTGGATGGAATTTCTTCTTCAATACATCCCTCTCACCCTTTTCTTTTGGGGAATGTAACTGTGGCACTTCTTAAATATGCTAGTCTGTCCACCCAGAGATCTAGGTGAACTGGACGTAGGAAGTTTCTCAATAGCTCCAACTTATCAAGTTCTTGGAAGGACGTTCCCATTGGGACCTCCAGATGAAGGTGTGGAATTCGCAGTTTGTCATCCCCCTCATTGTTTTGTTCAGTGTAGCCTCAATGTTAGTAAACTTTGTTCTTTCTTACCTCATAATTTGAGTGGGATGAAAAGTCTAACCACTTCAGGAAATCTTTCAAGGGAAATACTTCTCATAGACTGATGAGTAAATCTTGTTGAGAACATAACTGTGGATGCACAAGGAACATTGAAGTTTCACGCACTACATAATTTTAGATATGACCATCTGTGAGGCCTGAAAGGAATCCCAGTACCTGCAGTCTGGATAAGACAACTGTTTTCTTTTGAAATGTCTTTGTTTCTTCTTTACAGTATCTTTCTCCAAGAACTCACTGGACATCCTTTATCATTGGTGCCTGACTCTCCTTTCTTGCAGGGAGGAAGATGAATACTCAGAACTGCGGTCAGAGCTCAGCCAGAGTCAACAAGAGGTCAATGAGGATTCCAGAAGTATGGACCAAGACCAGACTTCTGTGTCCATCCCTGAAAACCAGTCCACTATGGTCACTGCTGATATGGGTGAGTCTTCCCAAGCCACATGTCAGCAGGACTTTGGCTTCTGGGTTGCAAGAAGAACATTAGAAACACAAGGCAGCCTGAGTTAATATTTCATTACTCAAGGAGTTTGGGGAGTGGATGAAAACACATTCATTTTAATCCTGTGTTCACTGCCTTATTGGCCACAGTGAACTAGAGAGCTGAGTTAGCATTCTTTTTGATGGGAATATGATTCAAATGTGTGTCATTTTTGGTTGAAAATTCTAGAAGTGGGAACTGTGTTAAAAGACTGTTGCAGTATTCCTAGTCACAGTTCCTTCAGAGCTGAGAGAGTGGGAGTAGAAAGGATGGAACCGGTGGCGGAGCTTTGCAGAAGAAGGAGCCAAGAGGGTTTCAGCAACTGTGGTGTAAGGAGGAGAGGGATCTATAATGTCTTCAACACATTGATCCAAATGACTAAGAGAATAAGTGTGTTTCTTGGTGAGAAATTTGATTGAGAAATAAATTGAGAAATAGTTAATAATTATATTTGTACTCATAGAGAAATAGCCTAGTAGAGGCTATTTTAAACTGAAGGTCATGACTTATTACTGGGTTTGGGGATTAGATTTCTAAAGTCTTTCAGAAATGAAAGCAAGTAGGAAAGCAGTAGAGTTAGGTATTGTTGTTTCATGAACTTTGTTTACTGTATGCCAAATAGCATGAAAGTCAGAGCTGGAATGTTGTAAGCTGGTGGTTTGCTTTTTGCTTTGGAATGCCTGTTGGATTCTTGAGACAGACTGAGGTTGAGTATTTGCCATTGTCTGAGCCAAAGTGAGCTCTGTGATTGAATGGGTGCAAAGTCAGAAGAGTGAAACATTCCATGTCTTTGTTCATGTGTAGTAAGAGGTGGAGGAAGAGCCAGAAGAAGGATGAAAGTATACTGTGTTTTCATGAAACTGGAAATTGAGTTGGAAAGCAATCAACTGTTTTTAATTGACTATTGCACATATGTTTAATTATACATTCATATAAGTGTTATAACATCATGAATCATGGTACCATGAGAATATCAGAGAAATTTGATTCAGTCTAAGGTTCTAGGAAGTTCTGGATCTTGGAAGTAGCATGTGTACTAAGATCCAGAGAATCCGTGTCAATTAAGCAGCTCAAGGAAGAGGTGAGGCAGTTTGGTGAGGATGGGGAATATATACTGGAAGGGAAGCATCATCGTGATGTGAAGATGAGGGCTGGAGAAGTAGGGAGGGGCCAGGTCATTCAGAATCTTGTGGAACATGTTGGAATCTTTACTCCAAAGCATAAGAAGCTGCTAAAAGATTTAACAGTGTGGGGAGGCATGAGATTATCAGTTACACTGTAAATCACACCATAATGTGGAAAGCAAATCCATAGATCTAGTGTGTTGGGGAAACTAGTTAAGAAACCATTAAAAAAGTCTAGGCAAGCCAGATTGTTGCTAGAAATTGGATAATGACAGTTGAGATACAGAAAAGAAGATGGGTACAGAAAAATTGGGAAAGATTTGCTTAAGAACTGTGTTTTAGTTAGGGTTTCTATTGCTATGAGGATACCATGACCACGGCAATTCTTTTTTACAAATTTTTATTAATGTGTATTAGTGTTTTGCCTGCACATATATCTATATGAGGGTGTTGGGTATTCTAGAACTAGCGTTACAGACAATTGAGAGCTGCCATGTGGGTGCTGGGAATTGAACCCTGTCCTCTGAAGAACACTCAGTGCTCTTAACTACTGAGCCGCCTCTCCAACCCCATAAAGATTTGTTTGTTTGTTTATTATGTATACAGTGTTCTGTTTGCATGCATGCCTGCAGGCCAGGAAAGGGTGCCAGATCTCATTATAGATGGTTGTGAGCCTCTGTGTGGTTACAGGAATTAAACTCAGGACCTCTGGGAGAACAGCCAGTGCTCTAAACTACTGAGCCACCTCTCCAGTCATGGCAATTCTTATAAAGGAAAACATTTAATTGGGGTTGCTTACAGTTCAGAGGTCCAATCCATTTCCATCATGGTGGTGTGCAGGCAGCCATGGTACCAGGAGAAGTAACCAAGTAGCCTACATCTTGACTTGCAGGCAACAGAAAGTGGACTGACTGACTGGGCAAGGCTTGAGCATATATGTGACCTCAAAGCCTTCCTCCACAGTGACACACTTTCTCCAACAAGACCATACCTATTCCAATAACACCACACCTCCTAATAGTGCCGTTCCCTTTGGGGGCCATTTTCTTTCGATCTACCACCAACTGGAAGCAGGATAAACACAGATATGAAAGTGGATGTATCCTAAGATTCTGGTGTGCACAGTGCATGCATGTTGAGGCCATTCATCAATGTTGGAACATGGTGGGAAGGACCAGGTGATTTACTCTCAGATTTTTTTTTAAATTATTTTGTAGAGAGAAGAGAGGCAGGTGGAGTGCATCTGCCTTTTGTGAGACATAAGTTGGGGTGTCTTGAGATACCTGGGCTACAGATATTTAAGAACACAGTAGATATTGAGATTAAGAAGTCAAACAGAGTGTCTGGGATACAGAAAACTCTTGGGGAGACATCAAGTTGTGACCGACACAGCAGAAGTTGATGTTCAGATAAGTGAAGTCAGCTGGAGACTGAGCCTCTGGGGCCACAGCTGCTAGCGGCACGCAGCAGGAGTCTGAAGCAGGGGTGCTCCTCTCCATTAGTTTCGGGGTAAATGATCATTCTTAGAATCCCCCAGAGTGTGAGTGCCATGCTGACTTTGTTGATGCAGTATTTTATTCCCTCTGATAAAACATTGAAATTGTAGATCATGTTGCTATCTGCCTGACTCGCCCATTAAACTCTGTTAGGCAGTGGTGTGGTGTTTCATCTCCTAGTCTAGGGCCTGGTTTGTGGCATATATTCAAAGACCCTATTGGAAAGAATGAATGATGCTATTGGCCTGTTTGTCTGAAGATGCTGGAAGAAATCGAGGGCAGATGCATCATGGTGTTAAGATCTGATGGGGAATTAGTGTTAAGCAGTCTGAAACGCTGAGAAGGCCGTATAATGGATTTAGCTGCATCCGTCACTGAGAGGTGTGCTTAAATGAGACCAGGTTACACTACACAACAGTGTGCACACCAGTGAAGATACAGCTTCAGGCTTAGCAGTTGGAAGATAAAATCTGAGGTCTGTGTTCAGCTCTTTGCTTTGTGCCTAGGCTCTCTCCCTCCCATGCATCTGAACCCAGGGTTCAGACTTGATGTTGTCACACACAGAGCCATCTGCCACCAGTCAACCCGTCAGGCAAAAGCCTCACAGGGCTAAGTTCAGATGAGCACTGTAATTGTCTCCACTCGCAGCCTCTTACTGTGCATTCCGGCTACAGCCACAGGCAGTCAAGCCAATTCAAACAGCCAGCGGTGTCTCCATCACTGCAGAGGACCAGCCCTGCACTCACCCTGCATTTGCTTCTCTCAGATTGTATTTGATGGATTTAGTAGGTGACCCATCGTCTGACAAAGTCACATAATTAAGTTTGGGAAATGCAGGCACAAACCTACTTCAGCGCGCCTCTCTCCTGGGGCACGTCCCGGAGCGCCTGACATGACATGGCATCTGTCGCACTGATTCCCCAAGGCGGGAGCTCACAGCTGTCCGTCCGCATGGGGAGGCATCTCCATTTTCCCTCATCATTCATCTCGAATTCTTCCTCCCATCCTGTGCCTCACTTGGAAATGTGTGTGAATTTTACTGGCAGAGCCTTTCCTGGCAGTCCTGTGCTCTGCAGGAGTATGGCCTCTGCCAAGGACAGCGTGCATTCCCTGCTTGCGCAGAGGAATCTTTGGTCATCTTACAAACTCACTGTGTGCTCTGTTAGGTACCGGGGCAGAAAGGCAGAAGCTGCCATCAGATGGCTGCACTCCCACGTTCAAACCTCTTAAACCTGGGCCAACCTCCAGACTCCTCACCACAGGGTCCCACGAAGCCCGGAGCTCCTGCCACCACACTCTGTGTCTGCTCCTCTCTGTTTGCCCCCCAGGCCTCATCACACTCCTGGTCTCCTACAGTCCCTTCAAGCTGACCAGATTCTGCCCTCCGGGGTGTGTGTGAACGGTTTCTTCTGGAGTGCCCCTTGCTACAGCACACATGTAGCGTTCTCCTTCGCTCCGGTCCCCTTCTCATGTCTGCAGAATCACTCCTCATGCCATCTCTCCCTTCCTAGCAGCTGGCACTGTCTGAGGAAAGGCCGTGTTTGCTTTTATGTCCTTGCATCTTGCCAGTCGCTGTCTCACATGAGAAAGCAGGCTGTATGGAGCAGGCATTTTGACGACCTTGTATGCCAATCTCATGATGCCCAAGGACTCATCAAATATCCAAGTAGCAATGAATGCAATCCCTTGTCACAAGTCTTTGGAGGATGTGGATAGTTCGATAGAAAAGACCCACAGTCAGGGCAGGATCTGCAAGATGGGAGCCTGGGAGGAAACTTCACAGAAGCCTCGGCTGAGTGGATACTTGAGGATTAGATGGGAGTGGTGAGGTTGAGGAGGAGTCCGATATGAGAGGACTCTCTGTTGAGCCCTTGAAGAAGGCAGGCACTTCTGGGACAGACAACTTGGCAGAGCTCATTAATCTGCAGCGTAGAATATAGTCAGCGTGTTTGTTGATTGGACCTGGCTGCCTGCCTCTTATTCCTTTGCCATTTTCCAATTAAATTGCTTCAATAGGGTAAAAAGCTTCCATATATAAACACCATTATAGGAAATCATTAAAAAGCATCCATTTCATTATGGTTGCTATATTTGTGAGCCTGCATTAGGAACTCAGAGGCTTCTTCAAGCTGGATTTTAGATGCACTTTGCTGCATTGGTTTTTTTTTTTTCTTTCTGGTTTACCAAAACAATAGCAGTAAGTCATCTGCTTGCTTCATCAAAAACCCATTTTCTTTTCTTTGCAATCGACACCTGTCAGAGCCTTGCCGCCCCTCCTGGACAGTGACTGTTGAGCACTGTTCTAGGACCGGACGACTAAACA